CTCACATGTAAACTAATGTTATTAGAACAGAGAACCGTACCATCAAGAGAGTTCAATTTAATGGGATTACTCCCAGCCAATCCAGTTTGACCAGTCAGAAACAAGGATAGGATCAGCAGTACCACCAAGCTGGTTATAGTAGCCATTCAAAATTTCATCACTTTCCTTGTTGGGCCCTTTGCTGGCCCTTGGCTGGTCCCCTACAATTCCTTTTTAGAACAGATCAGATGGGAACATGAGGACTCAGTAGTTGAGAGGCAGAGCAGGAAATCACAAACACTAAGGTAACATTGGACACCCTCTCCCCCACTGGCTTGAAAGAAATAATCTGGACCTGATTACTGGTAGCAGGCAGCTTAATTAGATTTAGGAGCAGGTGAATCAGATGAGCAGTAATGGGAAAGTGGGGAGAATTAGAGAGGTGAATGAAATGAGTTATTAAGCCAGTCATCAACACCAAGATCATAACAACAAATGTTAGAGCAAAGGATTTTCTCTGAACTTTGATTAACACCATCTCCTGATGTCTCAGGCTGACATCAGGACACAGTGTTAAAATATTAAAATCCAACCAGAGAGGATCTTTGGAAAGTTTTGGATCTTCAAAATCAGATCATATCTGCTCTTAGAAATCATCTCAAGTTGGGTTGGAGTATTTAGGTGTTGTTCATGCAGTTTGTAAGGTCCTCTAGTGGATGTAGTGGAGTATTGCAGGTTCTTGTACAGAGTTCTGGTGTTTCCTGTCACTGTGGGCCTCACAGCACAGTAGTACACAGCAGAGTCTGTCACTGCAGCAGAGGAGATCAGCAGGTCCATCTGGGGGTTTGTTCACTTTAATCTTCAGTTCAGGAACATTTTTAATTCCTTCAGCTCCTGAAGAAGAGTGAGAGATCAGAAGCTCTGGAGGTTCTCCTGGATACTGACGGTACCAGAAGAAATAATCTTGTGGTTGCAGGTTGGGATAATTATAGGACAGAGTGACAGAGCTGCCCTCTAAGCTGGAGATCTCTGTTTTAACCGCAGTCAGTCCTTCACAGCGGATTCCTGAAGAAAAAGGAGTTTTAGTTTTTGATTCAGAAACATTTCTGACATTTCAGAACAAAAACATTTGAAACATGTAGAATCTGACCTGTTAGCAGTGAGGCGACCAGCAGAGAAAGTCCATAATAGTCCATGATGATCAGAGTTAATGTTTGAACTGTGTTGAATGTGGAAGTTTGTGTCTCTTCTATAGTTCAGTAACAGCTCAGCTCCTCCCTGAAGCTCTCAGCTCCTCTTCCTCCTGCTGAACAGACTCACAGGTTTTGTCCTTCGAGATCGACATATAAGCTGTTTTATTTTCTTTAATACAGAGAAAAAGGTGAGATATATTTTCCCAATAAAGTTTTTCATTTTCTAACCAGATTTATTAGTTTATTTTAGTTTATCTATATGGGACCAATTCACAACACATTTCATCTCAAGGCACTTTTCAGAGATAATATAATCAAATGATCCCTACAGATTGGTTAGAATTTTCAACCCGAGGAAAACCTGCTGACTTCATCCAATCACTGACTTTGCAGTTTAGCCACTCGTGCATAAGCATGTGGCAATGATCGATATTTGCTTGAAATTTTCTCCTCTATTAAAGGGATAGTTCGGTATTTTTGACATGAATCTGTATGGCATCCCCATCACCAGTGGCATGCAATCACACTGACTTACCCCTGGCAGCGTCCTGTGAGCAGAGTTATCGTCAAGCCGAAAGTAGTCCGACAGGTTTTTAGGAACAGCGAAATAAAACTTTTCTCTTCCCAGCCATGTCTCCCTCCCGCCTAGCTGGGCGGAGGGAGACATGGCTGTTGTTGGGCTCGCTGTCTGAATGACGGCGCGCACTGATACGAACAGAGAGAAAATAGGACCAATTGATAACGACGTGTGACTTTTTCCACTACAATGTTTTTGGGATGCAAAAATATCACTCTTTTGAACACATAATGTTTTGGGAAGAGAAAAGTTTTATTTCGCTGTTCCTAAAAACCTGCCGGACTACTTTCGGCTTGACCAAAACTGGACGATAACTCTGCTCACAGGACGCTGCCAGGGGTAAGTCAGTGTGATTGCATGACACTGGTGATGGGGATGCCATAGAGATTCATGTCAAAAATACCGAACTATCCCTTTAATGAGGAGAAATAATTTTCAATTCAATTCAATTCAGTTTATTTATATAGCGCCAAATTCACAACACATGTCATCTCAAGGCACTTTACAGTTCAACCAGATCATACAGTCAAATTGATACAAAGTTTTCTATCTAAGGAAAACCAGTTGATTGCATTGACTCATTGACTCAAGTACAATCCCCCACACTAAGCATGCTTGTAGCGACAGTGGAGAGGAAAAACTCCCTTTTAACAGGAAGAAACCTCCAGCAGAACCAGGCTCAGTGTGAGCGGCCATCTGCTGAGGCCGACTGGGGTTCAAGGAGACAGAAGCAGAGATACAAAAAGCAGCTGTAAAAGGCGGCCCCGTCCAGGAAACACACAGCCAGGCAGATGAGCTCCAAGGCAGCTCCCATGCCAGAGGACGAAGAGAGCACATCCACTCAGTCACGGTCAGAGAAACAGGACCACACTGGAAAACAGGCCGATCTCCAACATCTATAAACAAGGGTGTTGATAGAAGCAGCACAGCTGATGTTTCTTTCCAGGATGACGTCACAGCCAAACAGGAACAGACGAGGCAAAGCTACTCTGAGGAAAAGCAGAGAGAGCAGAAGGTTAGAGGTTAGGGTCCTCTTATACAGCAGTAAACTATTTTTCCTGACTGGGTAGGATTCCCGTAGTCAAGTAGAGTACCATTCTCTTTCCAGATTTCCAGACATTTTGCCTCAGAGTGCGCAGCCTTTTTTTTAAACCAGGGAGAAAACTTTTTATTTTTAAAGGAAAAGTCCAGTCAGCAAGGAATAATCAATGGATTATTATCTATAACTAAAACTAATATGTTTGCAGTGATTTCATGAATTTAGTGTTAATCACCAAAAAAGTTAAAAACAATAATTTTTGTTGCGATCACTGAGTCCGGGACAGGCAATTTTTGCCCAAATATAGTAACACCTCCCCCAGACATCTTCAGGCAGTGATGTTTCCTTTCAACTTTCCAATTCATGATCCACCATGGACAGGTTCATCGTTGGATTGCCAACTTGAAGAGGGAGCATTCGCCATCAAACTTCTGATCAGAGAAGAAACACATAATATTTAGCCAACATTTCAAAGAAAAATGTTTTTAAGATGACTTGGATAATAGCGCGTTGTGACAAACACCAGATACAGCACTGGTACTTGATCAACAGCCGACACCACACCATGATGTCACAAAGCATTACATGGAAGTAGTGTTCTTTGACTAACACGGTTGTCTACAGCAAATCACATTCAAATTAAAATTGCTCTTAATTAAAAACATGAACTGTATGTATTGATTTCACGTTTAAAGTACTTTCAGAAGTTTGAAGTCCGAGTATGATCAGACTTCTCCTTTAAAGTTTTTCTTTTTCAAAGGGGCTGTGTTTTCTAAGGCTGTACACCTAGAACCAGCAACCCCATCAACAAAATCATCAGCCTGTGAAGGGAAATAAACTAAACTTTTGCACTCTGCAGCACTGCTTAGAGACACAGAGGAGAGAGAAGGAGAAATAGATTCTTTAAAATTTATAACTGCATTATCTGATGACGATCTGCTAAAGTGAAACCTTCCTTTGGGGGAGGGGGACTGTTAGAGTAATCCTGAAGGTTATTAAAAGTGAGAGAGGAAAGGATTGTGAGGAAATACTGTTATTTCTTCACATTCAAAGCCATATGTCAGCACAAGGTCCAAAGTATGAAGATGAGAATGTGTGGGACTATTCACATTTTGAACAAAGAAAAATACACTTTAATATAGCATTAAAGGTTGCATTTAAGCTATCACCTTAAATGCGATCACATTTGACGTTAAAATACCCCAATATGATGATCCTGTTAGTATTCAACACCAAATCAGAACACTGAAAATTCATCTAAAAATTCAGAGTAAGAACATGGTTGATGATACAAAGTTACAAAACAGAAAGGTTTTGTGGCTTTGCAATTTCAATCAAACAAAGGGAAACAAATAGTTAAACGTTCAAAAAAGTTGTATTTATTAACTTTTTTTGGAGTAATCAGTGAATCACACCGAAAGATTGTTGCTACTCCTCCTCCTCACCCAGAATTTCTGGATATGTGGAAATTTAAATAACTAGAGTGAGTTGCCTTATTTATGCTCACGTAATCCTCTTGCTGCAGCCAAGTAACATAAATCAATGTGATTATCACAAATCTGGTCTTTAACAACTAACTAACTTTTTGGAAAAAAATATCTCATGTTAAGTGAATCACATGAAATCATTTTAACTTTTTTTTAAATTGCAGTTATTTTAAAAATGTTACCTGATTATCATAATTTACTGCTTTAGGATTATTTTCTTATTTATTTTATTTTGGTAATGGGCAAGACACTGTCTGGATGAAGTAATGAGTGGGTAACAGTAAAGAAGCTGCAGAGAGGTGTTTTAAACTATGACTCTACTTCCTGGCCATTTCCTAACAAACAACCAGGTGGGCGTGTGTCAACAGTAAATCATATGACAGCCTGAAGGTTATTAGATTGAATATTAAAAAACATATACCCATAACAAGAGTGGAGATAAGGTGATGTCTCAGTAGGAAATTATCCCAGTTTGGTTGGGAACAAAGGTAAAAAATAAAAGGCAAAATAATTCCACATTACTTTTCTTTCCCCTTAGCCAAGACATCAATGTGCAGCATGTCATGGTAAAGTACAGTGACATCATGTGCAAGAGCACTAGAACCAAAGGAAGTAGAACCTTCCCTTAACATGAAACCACCACCATGCTTGTAGCTTCCACAGAAGATCTGATTCTAATCTTCATTGCCTTATTCCTCTGTTTTCTTTGTCATCAGTCATATGAGTCAACAATCTGCTTTTAACAGTGTGTGAGGCCCTCTAGTGAATGTTGCAGAATATTGCAGGTTCTTGTACAGAGTTCTGGCGTTTCCTGCCACTGTGGGCTGCAGAGCACAGTAGTACATGGCAGAGTCTGTCACTGCAGCAGAGGAGATCAGCAGGTCCATCTGTGTTTTATCATCACTCACTTTAAAGGAAAAACCAGGAACGGGATCCAACATTTTTCGTCCTGTTCCAGAGTACGAGATCAGGAACTCTGGAGGTTTTCCAGGATATTGTCGATACCAGAAGAAATAATCAGTAGCAGCTGCTTGTCCAGAAAACTTGTAGCTCAGGGTAACAGAAGTTTCCTCTAAACTGGAAACTTCCTTCTCATGTGGAGTCAGTTGATTACAGTTGGCACCTACAGAAAGACATTTGAGCATATATTAACTTACAGATGTTTCATAGTCAAACTTTTAAACATGATTAGCAGTTTAAAAAAACTGAAGGAACAAATAGCTGTAAACATCTTAGTTACACTTTTTAGCATTAAGTTATTCAAACATTTTAGCGAGAATAATTCTGACCTGCTAGAAGTGAGGCAATGAGCAAAGAAAGTCCATAATAGTCCATGTTGTCCGACAATGTTTGTTCTGAACTGAATTTAATGTGAGAGTTTGTGTCTTTTCTGAAGTTCAGTAGAAGCTTAGATCCCCCTTGAAGATCTCAGCTCCTCCCACTGTTGCATAGAAACGTAAAGCTTCATGCAAAAGTACCAAGTGCAGGGCGGAAAAGATCACCATAGGGCTAATATATACTCTTCTTCTTCTGTGCTTCCATGTTCTTTAACAGTATTCCTCTACTTCTGAACCTGAACCAATGTAGAACTAAGTCAAGGTGGAGGTTTCTACTCTTGGACTGTGGCCCAAGTTCCTCTTTTTTGGTGAAAGCAAAAAATCCTTTCATTTGGGAATCAAGGTCAAAGGGTTTGGATGAAGAGTGGTCAGAAACAGACAATAAGCCATTTGAGGTGAAATATCCAGTCAGTCATGATTTAGGGTGCAATGTTCCATGCAGGTGTTGGTATAGACTGCTTTCATAAACCCAAGGTGTAGCACAATTTCTACAGGGCAGTCATTCATTGTCCAAAGAATCTGTATAGAAATGCAGCTTTCATCTTCCAGCAGGACTTGGCCCTGCCCATACTGCCAGAAGCACCACAACCTGGTTTAATGCCCATCACAATATTTGACTGGACAGCCAAGTCGATAGAACCAAACCCCATTAAGAATCTATGGAGTATTCTAAAGAATCAATGCAGAAAGCATCAAGGATATCTGGGCTTCTATAACTCCCAGTTAATGCCACAGGCTGATTGGCTCAATGCCATGGTGCATCAAGGCAGTTATTAAGGCAACGGGACTCCCAACAGAATATTGAAGATTCACATATAGGCCTAGTTTATAAAGAACCATATTTCATATGATATTTTTCAAATCTGGAAGCTCAATTTAAAGTAGATAAATAAAAGGAATATTTGAGTTATGTAACAATTAATATATAATCTATGAAATTCTATTCAATTATAGAAATATAACAAATTATAAAAATATAAAAAAATTTCCATGATATTCTATCTTTTTGAAAAGGGTCTGTATATTCTTGATTTCCAAAATCACTCATGTGGCAAAGCACACACTCAACATCTGAAATGTCAGCACTTATATCATCAATACAAGCCTCAATACTTTTGCACCCTGTGCACATCCCAAATTTGAGGACTCTTTCTCTAAAAAAACCTGTTCCGCCTTAAAACCCCACCGCTTCACTCCAGCCACCACATTCAGCATGCTGTCCTCCCCTTCTTGGCATCTACCAAATCTCATCTACATCCGCCTCCTGTGCTCCTTGGACGCCCTGTAAAAAATCACCTATCACATATTTATTGGACATTTTTAGTGCTATATAGTCTAGTGATTGAACAATACAGTTTTGTTAATGCAATACCAATTATTGTGACATCGGTCAACTTGATCTCTGACATTTCCTGCTAATTTTTTTTTTAGGCTATTTCTCTCTGATACAGATGTTTCTCTCTCGATTAAACAAAACAAAAAATAAAAATCCAAAAGATAATAGTCATGGTGATGTTTGTGTATTTAATGATAATAGAAAAAAAACAAATAACCACTGGTAGCATTTTTTGGGAATATCTATCAACAGATGTCTACATTTACTTAATAAAAAAAGACACATTGGTGTGCATGTGGTATGTGGAAAAAACTTAAAAACTTTGGGTCTGTTAAGATTACAAAAAATGCAAATTAATACTAGACTATGAGGAAATAATGTTGTGGGGATACAGAGAGATAAAAAGAAGTGACTCTAGTCTCCCAACTGTAGAAAAATATAAGGCATAAATCGCTGGATGAAGAATTAAAGTGGACCAATGAGAAAACTAAGCTGGAACGGGCAGTATTTTGGGGAGCTGCTCCTATGGAATGGAACCACGTCCCTCCGGCTTGGCCTAGATATTCAGATGTCATTACCTCTATAAAAGCTTGTGAACTCCTGAGATTAGGGAGCCCTCTGAGGACTCAACATTCTGGGGCCAAATACATCGTCCTTTGTGCTGCTGAAAAGACCACACATGCAGTTGGGTATTAAAGTATTCTTCACATTAACAATTAGGAAACAGGTTCTGTCCCAGAGATGAACATGTTTGGGCGCAAATTATCCAAATAAACTCCAGAAGAAAAAGCAAAATATTTTTTAGGATTCTGGTTGGTGTGGTCACTGTGACAGCAGACTAAAGGGGATGGAGCTACTGTACACCTTGTGGACCTACAAATGGATGTTTGGGGTCCTCTAGTGGAGGTTTTGAAGTATTGCAGGTTTTTGTACAGAGTTCTGGGGTTTCCTGTCACTGTGGGCTCCAGAGCACAGTGGTACACAGCAGAGTCTGACAGTGCTGCAGAGGAGATCAGCAGCTTCGATTGTTTCACCGTTTTGTTGATGTACACCGAAAACTCTGAACCAGATGGATGAATCTGTCCTGCCTCTGTCATGTAGAGCAGGAACTCTGGTCTGGATCTCTCCTGCTGTCGGTACCACTGGATATTGTAGATAGAACCAGTATATTCACAGCTCAAACTGGTGCTTCTTCCCTCTGAAACAGCTTGTTCCCTCTGTTCCTGTGTGATGGTGTTCATGGAGCCCATGGCTGTAAAAGGAGTCATTAATGTCAGTTAGTCTGCAGGAGATTCAAACATGAAGAGACTCAGCAGAGGTTCTTTACTCTGTGCTCCTCATGTGATCACAATAAGGTTCATAGAGAAAATCAGAGTAAAGCTTTTCTCTGTGCTCTAACACTCACCTATGCAGAGAGAGAAAAGCAGCAAGAAGTAAAGTAACATGTTTTCAGGTAGAGTCAGACAGCAGAGGAACAAAGTTGTTCCACTGCAGCAGAATAAAGACTAAGAAGCTTATCTGGTGCACAGACCTTCTCCTCAACATCAAGCTGCTTTTAGTGCAGCAAACACAAACCATCTCATTGGCTGAAACCAGCAGTGGGGGGAGGAGTCAGAGAAAACATTTTACTGTCTCCTTTTCTCCTAGAACTATATTTAGTCAGTCAGAGTATTTGTGACCCTGAAGAAGCAGTTGAGGCTGCAGATGGTTGGATTGATTCTGATCACTGCTCCTGTTTCTTTCATTGGATCAACAATAGAAACTCTATTGTGGGTAAGCAAGGTACTCTGGATTACTGTGCTGAACCCGGATAGGAGTCACCCTTGGGACATCCTTATGCAACAAAAATCAACATGGATGATGTCAGTCAAACCGGAACTGCTGCACGGAAAACCCTAAACTAATCCTAAACCTAAACACTACCAAAGCATAGCTCACCCTAACCCAAACCCTAATGCAACTAGCACCTCAGCCCTAAACCTAACCATTAGCAAAGTAGCTTGTGAGGACCAGCAAAATGTCCTCACTTTACAACAACTGGCCCGCAATTTGCTGGTGAAATTAAAAAAATGATCCTTACTCTGAGGGCTACACCCACGCACACACACAGCCAAAGATAAAGCTCAACATTCTCTCTGTTTCTGTGAGGTCTGATGATACTGTGAAAAACAGATTACCTTATTTTCACGACCATAAGGCGCACCGTACTAAAAGGCGCAGTCTCAGTTATATGTGCCATTTCTGTATTTAACACACACATAAGGCGCACCGGACTATAGGGCGCGTTTTTTATATACAGGTACATGTCCTCTACTACCTTTAAATACCTCTACTGCGTATTTAAAAATACAGTGGGGGCAAAACTGAGTATGACTGTGCTTTATTCATGTATTTATTACAAAGTATTAATCAAACCTGGCAGCTGGCCGTGAGACAGATGACACAGCGCTGTGATCACTCCTAAATTAACTTAAAATCCTGAAACCTGTCGACGGAATTTGTTCGCTTTTATTACCGGTATCCTGGTGCCTGCAGTTTAAATTATTTAGATGAAAAACACCTGCCAGCCGCCGCTGTGAACCCGGAGGCTGCCCAGCCTAGAGGCTGCTGTTGAAGGGATTTCTACTGTCGCTGTACCGCTGGTATGTGGGGGTCTGAGCGGCTCCGACAGAAATAGTATAGGCAGGATGATAATCTGGATGAACTGACTGCAATTATGAAGTTTTCAGGGTGACTTTCTCACTTAAAAACATATTAAAACTACTTAATTCACACTGATCACAGCAAATATAGCTGCAAGATTTAGATTATTTAGATGAAAAAACACCTGCCAGCCACCGCGGTGAAGAGGAGGAGACGCGCCCAGAGGCTGCTGTTGAATTAAGTTTTCAGGGAGAAAAATACAGCGGGAGCAAAACTGAGTATGATTGTGCTTTATTCATGTACTTATTACAAAGTATTAATCAAACCCATCAAAGTCATCATCCTCTGCTTCTGAATTAAACAGCTGCGCTAAATCAGACATGCCAGTTTCCCCTTCTTCGCTGTCAGTCACTTTCCATTTCGGGCGGCTCCTCAGAAATAATGCCGGCTTTTGCGAAAGCTGGAACAACAGAGCCAGCAGACACGTTAGTCCAAGCATCTACAATCCATCCGCAAACGGTGGCGTAACTTGCCCGGCGCTGCCTTCCACTTTTCCTGAAACTGTGGTCTCCGTCTGTCATCCATCGCTCCCACGCCGCTCGCAGCCTTACTTTGAACGGCCGCTTCACACCGATGTCGAGCAGTTGAAGTTCCTTTGTCAGACCCCCGAGATAACGGCGAGCACAGCGTTCATTTGATTCATCCTGTTTTTCTCTTCGGCTGTGAGATGGGCACGCAGCGATGGTGATGCGTGGAAAAAACCACCTGGTCTCCTCACATACACCTCCCTCAGCCACGCTTTCATCATCTCATCATCCATCCAGCCCTTTTCATTTGCTTTAGTATCATATGTCATCAGAGCGATGTGTCTGTCTCACTGTCAGCTCCCAGATCAGCTTCTCTGATTGGTTGATGCGGCGCTTCCAGCAGCAAAACTTCAATTTTTCCATCTCGAGCAGCAGCAGCGCGTTGGCGGTGCGTCAGATGCTTAAACGCTCCCGACGCGCTGCGCCTGCTGCTCAAAACAAGCTGCGGGACCTTTTGCTGCACCTATACGCGCGTCAACCATTGACTTTGCATGTAAACTGGCTGCTTCTGCTGCGCCTGCTGGGTCCGGTTCACACCGATGTCGAGCGGTTGAACAGCGAGCACAGCGTTAATTTGTTTCACCATGTTTTTCACATCAGCTGTGAGATGGGCACGCATGGAGTTACATATTAACAGCGATGGTGATGAGTGGAAAAAAACCACCTGGTCTCCTTACATTCAGCCACTCTTTCATCATCTCCTCAATGAGGTGGTCTCAAAAGTCGCAGTTACAACACACATAGGGCGCACCGCACATTTTGAGGGAAAAAAAAAGACGTTTAAGTGCGCCTTATAGTCGTGAAAATACGGTAGCCTTGGAGTTTACTTAAATATTTTTTATAGATTAATTATAAAGAATTACAATGCAGTGCAATGCTAATAATCATCATTAGTGCATAACAAAAGGTAAAGATGTGCACTAAATCCTAGAAAGTTATACATAGTTTAAATAAATTACGCCCTCAAGTGGTCATAGTGCAGTACTATATTGTCTTTGCTCTGCAGGTTCTTGTACAGAGTTCTGGTGTTTCCTGTCACTGTGGGCCTCAGAGCACAGTAGTACACAGCAGAGTCTGACAGACGGAGATCCTGGATCGTCAGATTTACTGATTTCTTTTGTTTCTCTGTGTTGAGATCAGCATTAAATCTGTTTATGCTGAACTTTGGATCATTCTCTGCAGTTCCTGGGTCACGCTTCAGCATATAGGTTGGAGAACTGCCTTCCTTTTGCTGGTACCAGAAAAGATATGGATATGTGTCAGTGGTTTCAAAAATACATCCCAGAGTCACAGATTGTCCTTCAGCAGCAGCAACATGTCCTTCTGTCTGCGTCACTGAGTTTCCTTTACACTCTGAGGAAGAACAGAACATGCAGAGGAAGAGATGAATCAATAAAGATGATTGATTAAATGAAACAAAATAAGGATTTCTATGCAGTGTAAAGTAGGTGTAATTTTCTCTGATCATTGTCACTTTGAACCATATCAGGTGTTTCTACAAGGTAACAAATGGCAGCAGAAATGATCTGCTCTGATTTTCTGTAGAATGAACATTAAAGCTCTTCATGTAGAGCTCAGTAATGTGTTCAAGTGTTTGAAGAGGAAACATGTTGAGCTTTCTATCTTACCAAAGAAAAGAGCAGCTAGAATAATCCACAGCCAATGTTCCATCTGTCCAACAAGGTTTAAATCAGCAGGAGAAACTAGCTGATGTTCAACATTCAGTCTGACTATTGTTCTCTTCACAGCAACACTTATTATTGACACAATGCTGGAACACAGAGCACAAGGAGAGCTCCGCCTACTGGATGATGGCGCCCTCTGCTGGAGCTAGAAGGTGAAGCTGAACAGTGGCATTTAGCATATAACAGCTTTGCTGAGTTTAGTATGTTATTTAGTAGTTAGGAGTTCTGTCTCTGATATTCATTTATAGAATGTCAATAACCAGGACTACAGCAGCTTGTTGGTGGGTCAGATACAGTCAGACCTGACAGGTTTCTCTTAAAAGTGGCCTAGATTTTAAGTCATGCTGTAGTCAGCCACTTGGCCAAGTCTGTCTTTGTCATAGTTATGGTTCTGTTTAATTTGGATTTGGACTTCTTTTCAGCCTGTCACTATTTAGCCACCAGCAGTTATCATAACAGCTCAATCTGCCTCCAGCCCCCCTATAGATTATCTCCACCTGTTCCCACTTAGCTCACCTGTTAACCAGCCTACTTATACCTGTGTCTGCCTATTCATCTATGTCAGAACATCTCACCCTCTCCTGCAAAGACTGCCCGAAATCCAGGTGTAGTGCTGGATTCAGACTTGAACCTCCAAAAGCATTTAAAGACAATTAAAAGGTCGGCTTTCTATCACCTGAAGAACATTTCCAGGATTAAAGGACTAATGTCTCAGCATGATCTGGAAAAACTAATTCATGCATTTATTTTTAGTCGAATTGATTACTGCAGCAGTGTTTTCACAGGTCTGCCTAAAAAGTGGATCAGACAGCTGCAGCTGATCCAGAACGCTGCTGCCCGTGTCCTCACTAAGACTAAGAAAGTAGAGCACATCACCCCAGTTCTAAAGTCCTTCCACTGGCTCCCTGTATCTCAGAGAATAGACTTTAAAATACTTCTGTTAGTCTATAAATCTCTGAATAGCTTAGCACCTAAATACATCACAGACTTGCTATCAGTGTATCAACCCTCCAGACCACTCAGGTCTTCTGGCTCCAGCCTGCTCTGCAGACCTAGAACCAGAACTAAACATGGAGAAGCAGCATTTAGTTCCTATGCTCCACTTATCTGGAACAAACTTCCAGAAAACGGTAAAAGTGCGGAAAGCCTGAGTTCCTTTAAATCAAGACTAAAAACACATTTGTTTAGGATCGCCTTCCACTGTTCTAGTTAAACAGTTCAACTAAAACATAATTAGTTCAACTTTCGTATTTTCTTTAGTCCAACTGTTTTTAATGTTGTTTTTTGTTTCTCCATTTTTTATTTAATTTTATTTATTTATTTTTTCCTACTTGCTTTGATTCTGTTTTATTTTCCTATATTTTAATCATGTAAAGCACTTTGCATTGTCTTTGTACTGAATTGTGCTATATAAATAAATTTGCCTTACCTTGCCTTGCCTTGTGTCTGTATGCCTGTTTCCTTCACTACTGGATACCTTGTGCCCTTCTAGCTGAAGTTTTCTAATTGAGGTTGCTTTTATCTTCATGCTGGATGTTAGTTAATACAGCTCTGCAACATTGCGTGGATATCAGGGGTGGTTCCTCTGGATTGGCAGGGTGGTGGTCCCTCTATTTAAAAAAGGAAACCAGAGAGTGTGTTCCAACTACAGAGGAATCACACTCTTAAGCCTCCCTGGTACGGTCTATTCTAGGGTTTTGGAAAGGAGGGTCTGTCGGACAGTCGAATCTTGGATTCAGGAGGAGCAGTGTGATTTTTCCTGGCCGTGGAACACTGGATCAGCTCTACACCCTCAGCAGGATTCTGGAGGGTGCATGGGAGTTTGCCCAACCAGTCTACATGTGTTTTGTGGATCTGGAGAAGGCATTTGACTGTGTCCCTCGGGGGAACCTGTGGGGGGTACTCCGGGAGTATGGAGTACCGGGCCCTTTAATAAGGGCTGTTAGGTCTCTATATGACTGGTGTCAGAGCCTGGTCCGTATTGCTGGCAGTGAGTCGGAGTCATTTCAGGTGAGGGTTGGACTCTACCAAGGTTTCTCTTTGTCACAGATTCTGTTCATAACTTTTATGGACAGAATTTCTAGGCGCAGCCAAGGTGTTGAGGGGATCGGTGTTGGTGGCCTTAGGATTTCATCTCTGTTATTTGCAAATGATGTGGTTCTGTTGGCTTCATCAGGGCGTGATCTACAGCTCTCACTGAAGTGGTTCACAGCCAATTGTGAAGCCAGCTGACTATGCAGGTCAAGTTTTTAGGTGTCCTTCAGACAGCTGCAGTTGATCCAAAAAGCTACTGCCTGTGTTTTCATTAGAACTAAGAAAGTAGAGCACATCAGTGTGGTTCCACTGGCTCCCTGTAGCTCAGAAAATAGACTTTAAAATCCTTCTATTAGTCTAGAAATCACTGAATGGATCAGCACCTCAATCCATAATGGATCTGATGTCAGTGGATCAACCTCCCAGACCAATCAGCCTATTCTGTCCACCCAGAACTAAAACCAAACATGGAGAAGCAGCAGCTATGCTCCACGCCTCTGGAACAAACTCCCTGCAGACTGGAAAAGTGCTGAAAGCCTGAGTTTGTTAAAGTCACAGTTAAAAACCCATTTTTTTTTAGCTGCCTTTAACTGTTAATTAAATTATCATTAGTTTAAGGTTGGGATCCAACTTTTTGATTTCTTTTATGGATGTTTGTGATTTTCTTCTGGTTTTATTATTGTTCTATTTTATTATCTGAATCATGTAAAGCATTTTGAATATTCTATGTACTGAATTTTTAATGATAAATCCCAGCTGAGTAAACAGCCCACTGGCCTTTTCCTGTGTGGCCTCTTTTCCTGAAGATGCCACACTGCAGAAGATCAATGTTCCTTCATGTAGCAAGCAGAGGGAGGGATAAACAATGATTCTGTCTCACTGTCACTATTAAACCAGTTAGTTCACTGGGGTGTGAGGCCCTCTAGAGGATGTTGTAAAGTATTGCAGGTTCTTGTACAGAGTTCTTGTGTTTCCTGTCACTGTGGGCGTCGCAGCACAGTAGTACACAGCAGAGTCAGACAGCTCAGCAGAGGAGATGGTCATGCTCATTTTGTCTTCGTTTCCTTCAAATTTCAGTCTGTCTAGATGTTCTTCTCCCCCAAAGGGTGAATGAGACTTCAAGAACTCTGGGTGTTTTCCAGGATATTGTCGATACCAGAACAAAAATTGCACAGAACCTTTGGTGTAACTGCAGGACAGAGAAACAGAGCCGCCCTCTAAAGTGAACTCCTCAGTCTTTGCTGCAGTGAGTTGCTGACAGTTTACACCTGAAGGAGGAAAGGAAATTAAAGAAGTGAAGAAAAGAAAAGATTTTGGTGTTTTTTGACTCCAACTAACCTGTTCCTACAAGCAGAACCAGCAGAGTAAATCCAGATGTGAGCAAAGACAGCATGATGATCAGAGTTAATGTTTGAACTGTGTTGAATGTGGAAGTTTGTGTCTCTTCTATAGTTCAGTAACAGCTCAGCTCCTCCCTGAAGCTCTCAGCTCCTCTTCCTCCTACTTAGCAAATTTACAGCTTCCCTTTTTTTTTTCTTTTTTTTTTTTACTTTTTTCTTTTTTTTAAATGCCTTCGTAGTACTGACTGATGCTTTTTCTGACCTGCAGTAATCTTCATGTAAATAAAAAATGAAGGGGAGAAATTAAGAGACATGTCTTCCTTTGTGTTTTGGAGTACCAATGATTATTACCAGGGGCGGATCTAGAAAAATATTTATGGGGTGGCGAGAGGGGGGCAGGAATTTTTGAGGGGTGGCAACATATGGCATTTGTTTACACTGAATTTAATCCTAGTTATCACAGTTTGGTGAGAATAGCATGTACAATATGTGTTTCATGTGAAGCAGTTCATATTAGAAATACATCGTACAATGAGATCTCACCTAATAGGAGATAGAAGAATGATAACACTACTTCTAGAGGGGCATTATCACAGGAAAGGTATTAAAGTAAGACACAGGTGCTGAGTCGCAGATGTGTGAGATTGACTGTCAGAGAGGCAGCTTTGCAGCATTTGCACAAGAAGAAACTATAGAAAGAAAAACGTACCCATCAGAGATCTATGGACTGAGCTGGACTAAAGTGGGCAGAACTACACAGTAGAAATAAATGGGTCAAGGCACCCAAACAAGGTTCCAGACATCCATGTAATGTTTACTCTGAACACACATTTACCCCATTTGTTCCTCAGTAACTTGACATACAGCAGTTACGGCAACATGAAAGGGACATTTCATGCATGTAAATATGCTGTAGATAGAGCTGCTGTATCAACAAATCAACAAAAAGGCAGGTACTGTTTGTTACATCAAAATCTCCACAAATCTGAAAAGACATAAAAATACATTTTGCTTCCAATCTGTAAAAGTACAAAACATTTTGAGTAGGTTCATACAGGTCATTTCTGGATAGTTTCATACTATATATACAAAAAAAGAAACAACAACACCGCTTCATATTAAGCAGGATTTACACCAGCATCACATTTTTAAATTTACTTTTAACACTTTTGGTTTTATTGAAGGAAATATCAGATTTTCTCAGGTGCCAAAACAAAATGTAGCAGCTCTGTAAAGGCTCACCAGAGAGCAAAACATAAAGTTAACATGACTATAACAGCTGACTGCGGCGATTTCCATGTTGCTCAGCAAAATGCTTCACTAATTTATTTAGATCCAATGCCTTTGTGCGTTTTGATTTGAGTGCAACCAAACTTGATCGTCTATTTTCTGTCATAGTTGACCGCAAATATGTCTTTATGAGCCTGAGACGTCAGGCCTAACTAACATCATAGATAGAGAAATAACGCTCTGCAACCTGATTTTTATCATCTCAAAATCAGCATTGCAGCTATGCTAGCAACATTGTGCTTTCATTATGATTTAATTTCTCGATGGATAGTTAAACAGTTTTGACCTGTTTCATCCTGTGTCTCCTCTCCCCATCACCCCTGGCTCCCTCGCTTTGCTCCGCTCGGTTTTCGAAACTAATCAGTCTCAGTCGCTCCCGCGTCATCTCATGCTGCATTCACTGCAGTCCGACATTGGAAAGTA